AAGCGACTTCAAAGGGCCAGGCTTGAGCTTCCACAGCCGGGCTCCGGTCCGCGGCCCGCAGAGCGGAGGCCGGGGCAGGATCTCGGACGTCGGGGCCGTTCCAGTCCCGGCTCTCTGAGAACCTGGCGGGGGTGCCGGGCTGCAGGCGGCCGGGGCTGAGGGGCGGGTCCTCTGAGCCCCCCGAAGTGGGAGGGTCGGGTCGGCCGCGGGGCCAATCCCGGCGCGCGGGGAGCAGGGGCGGGGGCCGGGCGAAGGGGGGTACGGGGGCGGGCGGGCCAGGGGCGGGGCGCGGCGTCCAGGCGGCGGCGGCGGCGGCGGCGACTCCTCAGTGTCCGGCTCAAGCTCCGGCCGCAGCTCCGGCTCGCGATGCCCCACTCCGTGACCCTGCGCGGCCCTTCTCCCTGGGGCTTCCGCCTGGTGGGCGGCCGGGACTTCAGCGTACCCCTCACCATCTCGCGGGTGAGTCCAGCGGCCACGGGGCGGCGGGGAGGTCCTGAATCTGAGACCCAGTCCTTACAGTCCACCCGGGACCCGGATCCCCGACGTCCTGGAGGCTCGAAGGCCAAGGGTTGGCCTCGGTGACCCACAGGCTGTAGAGGAGGCTTCCAGGCTGGGCAGCGTCGCCACAGCCCCCTCCCCCTCCCGCTGGGCCTACCTGCCCTTATCCCTTGAAGGATTCCCCCCAAGAGCTCACAAACCAGCCTCCCTGCTGGCCTCATTCTGGGGGACTCACTGCAGGCCAAAGTCATGGGCCAGAGATCTGGACTGATCTCCAGAGGCCCAGAGATGCTGCTTCAACCTAATGCAGCCTGAAAATTTCAAGCGAAATGACTTGAGAGACTCCGCTTATCAAGGGTCCCTGCCAGTAGAGCTGAGTGATCCCAAGGAGGTCTGGGGTCCTCTCTGAAACTGAAGAAAGAAAGATCCATCCAGTTCCCCACTCTGGTTTTGGTCAGTCTCTCATCCATGACCTCACTTGTCCTAAGGGGAAGTGACCAGGAGGAATTTTTGGCTTCCAGGGAAAGGGAGACTTGACTATGCAGTTCTGAGACCCCCTTGCCACAAGACACACAAGGCCAGGGGCCAGGATAACCTCCACCCAGTTCCTCAAGTTTCTGTGGCCATGCACTGCCCCAGGTTTAGGCAGAGGAGGAGGAGGAGGGGGCACCACCCCAGGTGGTGGCTAATCTGAGGAGGACAGAGGAACAGAGGACATGACTCGGGCCCTGTCAGAGGGGGGTACCCAAACTGGGAAAGACAGGATCCTGGCCCAGCCTTGGGGTCCCATATTTGAAGGGCCAGAAGACGGGACTCAGACTCTGCCCCTGGGGGTCCCAGCCTAGGGTACAGAAGAGGAGAGAACCCAGGCCCTGCCCTTGGGGGCTCCCAGTCTGAAGGGAAGAGAGAAGGGGACCTGGGGCCATCCCTTGACCCCATACAAGCTGCTCTGGTCTTCGGGGCCCTGTATCGGGGGAACTGAGAGCACCTTCCCCCTACCCTTCCGCCACCTCTCGCCATGGGGGCTGGACCAAGCTGGCTGGGCTTTCAGAGTCTTCTTTCCAGTTTAGGGGAAGGGGTGGGCACCTGGTGGAGCATGGAATCATGGAATCACGTTTCTGGGGGCCAGGGTGACAGGCAGGCCCAGCTGTCCTGGGAGGATTCCCACATCTGCCCTCACCCCATGGCCACCAGGTCCTTTGGGGCTGAGTGAGGTGGGCCTTCAACACATCTGGGAGCCTTTCATCTCCCACTTCCCTGAGAGAGCCCTGCTGGGGGCCTGTGTGTGTGTGTGTGTGTGTGTGTGAGAGAGAGAGAGAGAGAGAGAGAGAGAGAGCGTGCACATCTGTGTCTGCCAGTGAGTGTCATGCTGTGTGTCCACCACCAAGGCAGGCTGTTGGGGGTGCTAGGCCAGCCGGCGGGCCAGCCACCCTGGGCGTGAGGCCGCTGACAGGCTAAGTGGCAGCGGCTGACGGCCGCAGGCAGCAGGGAGCAGAGACATCTGTTGCCCACGCGGCTGCCTGCCCGCCGAGGAAAGGCCTCCACACGTCACAGCGGCAGCAACAGCGGCGGCCTTGTTTGGAGCTAATCGGGATGCAGGCCGCTGGCAGGCAGACAGGCTGGAAAGGGTTTACCAGGAAGAACACCCCCGCCTTGTCCCCCCAAAGTCTCAGAGCAGCAGCTAAGGCCTGAGGAGCCAGGATGGCTGAGCCTGGGTTTGGGTGGGATCTGGGGAGATTTACAGGGCTGAGGAGACACAGGCCACAGCTTGCCCAGCAGGTACCTCAAGGGCAGGTCTACAGACACTGATTATATGTGGGAGTGTCCTCACCGAGGGGGTTCAAGACCCGACCCCTCCCATGCTTACGGGACTTCCCCCACCCAGTGGAGACAGCCACACTCAGACAGAGAGGAGGCTGGCTGCCTGGCAGAGCTGGGACTATGCAATCTCAGCCCACAAAGCCTCTGGGAGCCCCCCCAAACATTGCCCAGGGCTCCTTCCTCACAAACTATAGTGACTACTGACCTTGGAATCCTAATGGGTTGTTGCTACCAGGTCCCTAGAAACTAGTGCCTGGAATGAACACCACTAACTGTATGCCCAGCTCCCTGTAGGGGCTTTTTGCCTCTAGGCCAGGTGGAGTGACACAGGGGCTTTAAATGTAGCTGCTATAGGTGAAGGGGCTGGTTCACGCCCCAGCCTCCCAGCTGACTTCACCACTCCCCTCTCTCTTCCTTCTGTCTGTTTATCCTGCACTCAGCAGCCAGAAGGATCAGCCTGAATTCAACTCTGTCCTGCGATGTCCCTGTTTAGAATCCTCTCGCCTGGGCCTACAAGCCCTGTAGGTCTGGTCCCTGCTTTTTCCTCTCATTTCATCTCTTCCACTCTCTCCTCACCGATATTTTGGTGATATTTTTGCCACAGGAGCCTGCTCTTACTTTCACTCCCAGATGAGCTATTACACATGCTGATCCTTCTACTTGGGACACTGTCTCTCCCCTCACTCCCTTTTGCAGAAAAGCACATTGGTTAAGAGCATAGCATTTGGAATTGGTTGGTCTGGACTGAAATCCTAACTCTGCCGTTTATCAGTTGAGTGTCCTGTACTTCTCTGGACCTTGGTTTCCTCATCTAGGAAATAGGCTTGCCTTGAGGACTAATGAAACAATGCATGTAAAGGCAGTTGGAAGAGTCACGGTTTCCTGGCCTCACGCCCTCTCTGACCAGAACTCCCAAGCTAACGGAACTGGCAGAGTCCCAGCCACCCCTGCTTTCGAGAACTTCCTCCACCCACAGGGGCCTGAATGCACCCCTTGTGCTGGCTGAGTCAGCCTGCAGCTAGCCACCCCCCTGAGGAAGAAGACTCCTCTCCAGCATGGGGACTGGGGCAAAATGCCCCATCCCCAAAGCCTCTCTTTCTTCATCTAAAAATAGGAATGAGAACAGCCTCTGTCTCATCAGGTGGTTGAGAGGTTGCCATGAGCTAGTTATGGCTAAAGCACTGAGCCCAGGCCATGTCACAAAGCAGGTATCCGTGTAGGAGAGGGGGCCTAGAGCAGGGCCTTGGGGGGAGGGTGGGATGGTGCCAAGTGGGTGCCTTCCCTGGGAAGACAGGCCTGTGTAGGTGCCCATGCCCTACAAAGGAACATTAGTGGTGGGCTGGTTGGCTGAGGGTAGCATGCTCCAGAAGAACATTCCTTGGGGCAGCCTATTTCAGGGCAGGTTGCTTGGCAGTACCCACACCAGGACTCCAGCCAAGGAGCTGCCAGCACCTCAGCTTTGTCCGCTCACTACAGAGAACTGGCTAAGCTGAGCCTGACCAGGCCTCCAGGAGCTCCCACCCCAACAGGGACAGTGCCACTGACAGCTCTTGAGCCACAGCTTGAGAGGCTGGGAGGAATGAGGGTCCCTAAAGTCTCTTTCCAAAGGCTGTGCTGGGACCAGGGACAGGGTAAAGGATGTCCTGTTGCCTGAATTCCCTCCCGAGGCTGCTTACTTAGGCCTCCTGTGAGCTTATTCCCAACCTCATGTGGCACATGTCAAGGGACCGGCATTGTAGGAGGCTCCAGATGTGGACACTGCTTGACCCTCTGGGATCAACAGTGGCACTGGGGTGGCCTTTGTGCCTGTCCTCCAGAGGAAAGGGAGGTGAAATTGTGACCCGGGAGCGCAGGCTGGCAGCTAAAAGTAGATGGCCCTCGACTTGCCTGGGGAGGTGACAGCACAGAATGAGGCACTAACAATGTTAGGGGAGCAGAGTGGTAAAGGGGGTGCACAGGGTACTGTGGGACCCCAGAGGAGAGGCTTCCAGGAGAAATGGCCTCTGCTGAGAGCCTGAGACCTGAAGGATGAGGAGGCATAAGCTGGTAATTAGGGTTTGGGGTCAAAGGAAAGTGTGTTCCAGGTAGAGGGAACAGCATCTGTAGCAGTGTGAAGGTGAGAGCTATCTGGTACCCGTGAGTACCCCCTTGACGTTCAGATGGTCTGGATAGAGCGTGGGTGTGTGGAGGTAAATGTGGAGGGGTGGGGATGAGAGGAAAAAAGGTCACTAAGGGTTTGAACATCAGGTCAAGGGGCTACTATGTGGTCTGTCTGGGTGGGGCAATACAGGGTACCTGTGACATGTCCATGCTTTGTATCTGCTGGAGAACACATATCCTTCTGTGTCCCTTGCATGTGTGCAGGCTGCAAGAGTGACATCCCATTTGTCCCAACCCAGAGGAAGCCCCTCTCATATGCCCTTCATACCTCACCAGACCTCCAGGTGCTGCAGTTGGGCTTGTTTGGAGCAGAGGCTTCAGCAAAGCCATGTGGGAACTCAACTTGCCCACCCACAGGTCACATGGGCAGCAGGGCTACACTGGCCCAGTTCTGAGGTTGGAAGGGGTCTAGAACAGAGCCCGCAGCAAGGCCACATAATGACCAATGTCCAGCCATCTGGCTTGTCCATCCACAGGTCCATGCTGGCAGCAAGGCTGCCCTGGCTGCACTGTGCCCTGGAGACCTGATCCAGGCCATCAATGGTGAGAGCACAGAGCTCATGACACACCTGGAGGCACAGAACCGCATCAAGGGCTGCCATGACCACCTCATACTCTCCGTGAGCAGGTACGCACAGGGCAGGCTGGGCCAGGATGATACGGGTGAATCAGGGGAGGCTCGGTTCTGGGTGGCCAACATCCTGGGTGAGCTGGGCCTCACACAGCCTCTCTGCTTCAGTTCCTGGCACCCCACTCCTATGGAGCAGCACTTTCACAGGGGTTTGACAGGCACTGTTTGGAGATGCAGGTGGCTTAAGAGAGGAAGAAGCACCCATTTAACCTATGGCTGGAACTATGTTGGGGGACTTATGGCAGGGGGTAGGCAGCCCAAAATCAGGGCTGAACTAAGACCTTGAGTAGCCTCAAACCGGGGGTGAGGTGTGTGTGATTTCAGTCCTTTTCCCACCCACGAGTGACGAGCTTGATGACCAGTTCAAAGAATTTTATCGTTCAACACCTTGTTTAACTGTCAAACCAACTCCATAAGGTAAAACCTAATATAGTCTCCACTTTACACGTGAGACAACTGAGACTCAGAAAGTTTGGAGGGTGCTTCAAGTCACACAGCAGAGCAGTGGTGAAGCAAGATCTGACCTCAGGTCTCCCTCACTCCCAAAGACTCCATTCCTTCTGCTTGACTGCTGACCACTTCTACGAGCCCCACAGCTGCCCTGCCTCAGCTGTCCCCACTATGGCCCAAACCTCTGCCCTGCTTAAATCTGGATGCCATGGACTGTGTAATGCTATACTGCCCATCAGGAAGGCGAGGATTGGGGGGGTCACCAAGCCCCACCTGTGCCCTGGACATGCTCCAGGATGGAAGGTCTACCTGGGGCATCTCCAGCCTTGCTCAGGCTGATGGCAGTCGGCTGGGTCCGGGCTGGGCGGGATCTCCCTCCCCCTGTCTTGCCTAGATCCAGGGAAGTCAGACATAACTGCTCACCTCTGCCACGTTCACTGTTAACAGCGACTTTCCACAACCCCATGTGGGTGTGTGTAGGTGAATCCTCCCCAAACCACAACACGGCTAACCAGGCCTTAGAGCCAGCAGGGCAGGGTGTAATCCGTGGGCTCAGAGCCGTTAAACATGGTGGGAAGCCTTCTGAAGTAGCCCCATTTATGTCTGGCCCAGGTCCGTGTTGAAGTCAGGACCCTGACTCTGCTCTCGGCGCTGAGTGGGCCCAGCTGCAAGTCCAGGGCCTTGTACACTCCACCTGGCCTGCAGTGAGGAGGCTCTGTCCTGGGAGTTCAGCAGAGCTGGCCCTCTTCCAGACTTTTTGGGTTCTTAGGCTCACCAGATGACCTCTGTGAGCCTGGGTTTCCTTCTCCATAAAGCAGGATCACATTCATCACCCTCTCTGAGACCGAGGTACAGGCTGTCTGGGGGAAGCATCAGCACTGCTCTGCCCACGAGGGGCCTCTGAGGCCACCCAACTTGGCTCGGTTCCTGGGCCCTGATTCACCTCTGGCCTTGTCTCTGCATGGCTGAATAAGGGAAGCCCTGATAGTAGTGGGACAAGGGGCAGGGGAGGCTCACAGGGGGCCTGATTCAGGAGGTCCACAGAGGGAATGATGTCAGGGGAGGGTAGCAGGGTGGGGGCAGGGTGGAGGTCCCCCTTCCTTCCTTCCTTCCTTCCCTGGCCATTTGTTCCAAGCCAGGCATGGATGAGCCAGGGGTCCACTGACCTGTTCCACACTGGGTATTTGAGCCCCCAGATGCTGCCTGGCCATGGAGCAGGTGAGAGCACACTCTCTCCTATCACAGATCTGGGTTCCAGTCCCAGCTCTGCACTTGAGAACTGTGTTGTCCTAGTGATTTAATATCAGAGCCCTTAGCTTCCTCAACTTCAAAATGGGGGATCTGGGATTGAGTGAGGATGATATACAGTGTCTGCTTCGTCAGGGTGAAAACCTGATGTCATGTCCCCCAGCCCCCATCCCTAATTCTCACACATGCAGATTCTGGGGGATCAAGACACAGGGGCCACCTTGATCTTCTGGGCCAGCATCTCTTCTCCTGGGTGCCTTCTCACCTGCAAGGCCTCTGACCCTGCTCTCTATCCTGCCTGTCATGCCAGGACTTATGCCTGAGCCTCCAAAGACAACCCCCAACATGGGGTCTGTGGAAGATTGGCCTGGTGAGCTGCTTGGAGGGAGCTACTCTGTGCCAGCGCTCCCAGAGCTCTACCTAGGCCAGCTTCCCTACCTGCCCTCTTGCGTACAGAGGGCTGTACTCCTCCACAGACTTCTCCACAGGATGAAAAGTGAAGTAAAGGCCCAGCTTCCCCGCTATGCTTACTTTGTCTGGAACTCAGAGCCAGGTATCCAGCAATCCAAGCTAACCCATACTTTCTGGGCATGTTCTGTAGGTCCAGGACCTTCCTGGCATCAGCTGCAACCCTGGGGCCTCTGGTGAGGTCCCTGTCACCTATTACATAGGATACAAGATGGATTTGTACAGCCCACCCTTTGGTGGGCTTAAAGATGGCAGATGGAGCTACCTGCTCAGCCTAAAGTGTGGAGACCTGGGGGTGGAGGTTGACACATGAATAAGCCTCTCATTCCAGTCTTATGCCTTTGGACCACTCTGATGGCTCTGGGTACTTTGTACCCTCTGATCTTCAGACCGCAGGCTTGTACTTCTCTTCTGGGCAGGACTTCAAGGAAGTATAAGGCCAAACAGCCACACAAGATGTCCTAGGTTTATTCCAGCAGAGTTCTGAGTGCATAGAGACCATAGTTAGAGCTGTGAGTTAGGGCAGTCAGTTGGGAGCCTGGCTGAGGGGGCTGGAGCCAGATGCCAGTGGGGGATAGAACAGCAGAGCCTTGGGGCCACAGGCCTCTGAAAGGCTGTGGAGAAGAGAGGTAGCCTGCAGGGGACCAAGGAATGGGCAATGGTGAGGAAGAGCAGAGTGAGTGTGGACTACACGTGTAATCAGATTGTTAAAATCCTCTGCTGAGTGGGGGGACAGGGGCAGGGTTGAGCTGCTAGCCCAGTGGTAAGACCCCTGAGAAGACCCAGGAGGCCCTGTGGGGCAGAGTGGGGACATTATTCCCCTTTGGTGTAACCAGCCTCACTCACACCCACCTGCCAATCCGGGGTCCACACACCCTCCTGGCCTGCCTTGTCACAGGACTACTCAGTGGCAGGACTGGGCCCCAGGCCTGTAGCCTCTCGGCCCTGCCTGCCCCCACTTATGGCAGGTTTATGATGTTTTTCTCCCTCCTGAGTGGTGTTTGGCTTTTGGTTTCTATGGCGAAGCAGGAATTTCCTAATGGCCTGTTTCCCATCTGGGCTGGGCAGACATTGATGACTCTGCCAGCGGCAGCAGTCAGGGAGGTGCACCCCTCAGAGCCTCCATTCCACTTTTCCTGGGCCCACGGATGCCTGACTCCCAGGCCCCATCAGAGGCTGTGAATGGAAGCGGGAGGAGTGGATGGGCTCCTAGCTGATCAACGTGTAAGGCCTGGCTTGCTCCGCCATGAGCTTGGCCCTCTTTATGCTGAGCTTCCATAGGCCACAGAGAGGGTGGAAAGGTGGGGAAGCTGCAGGGCTTCCTTTCTAGGAATCAGACCAGAGGGGGAAGGAGCAGCTGGTGGAGAAAGGGCACACAGCCTATCCCAGGTGAGTGGCAGATCTAGAGTTGTGTCTCCTTGCCACGAAGGCCAGCATTCTGGCGCAGGGGAAAGAGTTGGGGTAGTATCCTTATCCACGCGGGGTACCAAGCCTGGTCCTGGGTGGGCCTGGGCCCAGACCCCAGCGCTTCTTGGTCCTAGTTCCCAGGCATGGTGGGCTAGTAAGCAGAGATTTCTGACAATCCTAATTCCTGCCACAGGCCTGAAGGCAGGAGCTGGCCCAATACCCCAGAGGACAGCAAGGCTCAGGCACACAGGATCCACATCGATCCCGAGGCCCAGGTATGTACATACACCACCTGGCCTGGCCTGGCCTGGCCTAGCTCAGAGCAAGCCCAGGGCAGAGAGGCCGGGCCTTGTCCACGGGTTTAACTGCATTGGATGTCCTCACTGCGGTTCTCAGAGACTGAAGCAGAAGGCTTCTCTGGGCTCTGTCCATGCCCCATCAGGGGCTCCCAAGGTGACGGGTACCTGCTATGGGCTCTGTCAGTACGCTAAGCAGTCCTGGATTCTGGGACAATGGTGCCTGTGGTGGGCAGGGACTGGGCCAGGCCTTGGCTCAGGGCTACCACTTACCCAGCTGGGTTTCACTCTGTCGCCCAGTGTTGCCAGATCAGGAGGAAGTCACCAGACTTGGGGGAGGGGTGGGGGACAGCCATAGGCTGTGGAGTGACCTCAGGCTATGGGGCACTCTTCTGTCTCATCCTAGCCTTGGGCACCTACCTGGCCAGAGCCAACCTTAGAATATAAGGCACTGCCTTGCCCTATCCAAGACTGAAGTTTTCTCCTGGCCATTCCATGATCGCAGCTAGCAGACCTCAGGCTGCAGGCCTGTCTGCTCATTCACCTTTCTGTGTATGACAGGAGTCACAGCTATGTTGCTGTCCTCAAGGAGCATGAGGTGGAGCCAGGCTGCTTTAGGGCCTCATTTTTCCATGGGCTTGAGGGGTGGCCAAGTGGGCAAAGCTGAGGTATCCAGAGTGAACTCGTTATTTCTGGGCCACTGAGTTTGGGCAAGGCGGAGACTCGACTGGTCTATGATGGAGCCAGAACTTGGGACCCAGCATGTGGGACCATGGCCCCCAGGGCCTGCTCATATCCACTCTCTCTCCACGGAGGCTTTGCTGTACCAGAGGGAATGATTTGCCATGGCCTCTCCCTCACCCCCTATCCTAGTCCCCATCTTTCTCTGACATTTGTTCCCTACCTTGCTTTTGCTGGCATCCCTGAGGCCAGGTGCTTACCATACGCAGGGAGTGCCCATTCTGGAAGGGGAGAGGCACCTAGCAGTTCTGGGATGGAAGAAGCCAGGGGTCAAAGGAGTCCAGAGTAGGTATCTGACTCAAGGGGTCAGAGAGGGCTCCCTGGAAGAGGGGGTATCCAAGCCAAGACCTAAGGGTCTGGAAGAATAAGGGAGGCAAAGGGGCATGGAGAGAAGTGTGCCACATACAAAGTGAAGCACATACAAAGGCCCAGAGGTGAGATTGTGCACCGTAGGTTCAGAGAAAAAAGTCCCAGGTGTGGCAGGGGGCAGAGGTGAGGGCTGAGGGCACAGAGAGGCTCTCGGTTTCCTCTACCCAGGACCTCAGCTGTTCTTGAAGAGATTTGTGGCCACACCTGGGTCTCAGAAGCTTGCTCTGGTAGTTCCATGGACCCATGGGGACAGGGGCTGGGGGGCATAGACAAATCACCCAGGCTTGACATGGGCGAAATGAGAAAAGCGTAGTGTAGGCCCCCAGCTCACGTGTGAGCCCGGCTCTCGTGTGTAAGTACCAAGATGGATAGGACAAGGGGGCCTGAGCTTTGGAATATGAAGCTCAAGTCTGTTGAGTCCTCCAGGAGAGGCTCTGGGCCAGTGGGGCTGGGGGCTGGAGAACAGCTCCCTCTGTCCCACACTTTCCCTTACTGACCTCCTCAAGGGCCAGGCTGTGGGGCTCAGGCTGGAAGCGGGGGGATTTTCCACAAGCAACAGGGCAGCCCCTCAGCTGCTGCCCCCCTTTCGTACTTAAAAGGTCATGAGCTCCATGGAAGGGGGGACAGAAACACCCACACCCAGCCCCTGTAGGGCCGTGTCCTCAGTAACACAGATACAGGGCCCATTGTCTCCATACTGCTCCCACCCTCTACCTGCAGGGGGGAGGGCGGTGGGCCCAGCTGGAGCCATCACAGGAGGGGAAGACGACAGCTGGCCCTAAGACCAGCACAAGGTACCCTGGCACTCATCAACTGGGGCTTCAGGCCCACCTTCCATATAGAGTCATTGGAGTCTCCTTCTCTCAGCCCTTACATGGGAACACAGCCCAGAGTGGAGGAAGGATGGTGATCAGAAAAGGTTTCCCAGAGAGGGTGGCATTTGAACTGAGAACCAGGTGATAGGTTAAGGCAAGCCAGGTGCAGCAGGCAGCGCAGGACTCAGCCTGTCCTCTCCAGACCAGCAGGGAGCTAGAACTTGGCCTCTGGGAGGTGCCACCTGCTCACCTGGATTTAGTGCCCACCTCTGTCCAAGTTGAGTGTCCTAGATTCTGACCACAGTCATGCTGGAGCTGATGAGCAAGCTAGCAGTTACCCCCATGCTGCTGACTAGCCCACTGAGACTTCAACAAACAAATCGGCAGCTGGCGGGTACTCAGACACAGGGAACACATGGTACCAGGCACACTGTGGAGAAGGGAAATCCAGGAATGGGGGCTCAGGAATGCCCATGACAGCCATTCATCCAAAAATGGATGTGTGCCAGGCACTATGCTAAGTGCTTTGTATGCAACTGTCTCATTTTATCTCCACGAGGAACTTATGATAGAAACCATCATCCCCATTTCACAGATGAAGAAACTGAGGTTCAGAGAGGTGATGTAACTTGCTCAGTGAGCGAGTGATAGAGCTGAGACTCAAACCAACACTGAGGTCACCACGTGTGTCCTAACCACTGAGTTCAGACCTAGAGAGGCTGCTGCATGGGTGGCCATGGGAGGGGCAGTGGCTCTGATGATCCTGCAATAAACTCCCACACCCTGCTGGGTGGGGGTCAGTGAGGGCTTCCTCCCTCCAGGTCCCTCCAGCTCCCCCTTCCTGTTGAAGCCTGTTCTGTACGGGGCCCAGCCCTGCCCCCACGGCCCATGGCCCATCTGGTCCCCATTAGAGGCCAGGCCAGCCCCAGCCTGCCTGCCCTGCAGACACATGTGTGAGAGTGCTCAGGTTTCTCAGAGGCTAAGGCTAAAGGTTTTTCTGCTGCTGTTGCCTCGTTGATGGGGGCCCACCTGGGCAGTGAGAGACCCCCTCTCCTTTGTCTGTTGGGGTGGGAGAAGTTGGGACACCACCCCCATTCAGTCACTCAGCTGCTAGTTTGCCCATTCCTCACGCCCCTGCCCAGCTCAGAGCCTGTAGAAAGCAGCAGCTTGGGCAAAGCCCTGCAGGCTCAGCTGTGCCCCAGCTGGAGGCTGACCGAGTCCAAGGCTTGCTCTTTCCCTCTAGGGTAGGCGTCCTTTCCTCCCCACCTAGCATCCCTGTTCACACTGTAGAGGGGAGGAAAAATTTACATGTCACCTCCCAGACTGAGGCTGAGAACAACTTCATGGCCTGGGCACTTGGGCCCCACCCCAAAGTCAGGCTGCTCTGGCCACCAACTGTGTCATGGAGGTCACCATGGTCATCCCCAGTATGACCAGCACTGGCTCCGAGTATATGTAACTGTGTCTGTGTGATTAGGTGTATGTAGGTGGAGGACTGGCTGGTGCCTGTGTGTTGCCTTCATGCATGGGTATGTCTGTAAATGTACTTGTGAGAGTGTGCATGCCTGTTATCACACTGCTGAGGACAGGCTTGTGTGCCTGCAAGCGAGGGGCAACATGGCCCTGCAGCGACAAAGATCTGAGGTCCCAATTCAGAAACCACGCCTGCAGAGATCCTGACCTCTTCTCATGGACTGAGGAGGCATTTTCAGGGCATTCTTCCTCAAATGTTTCAGCCGTGGGCATCTGGCTGGCTGTGGGGTGGTGGTGTGGGGAGCTTTGAGCCCTGGCCAAGCCTTTGCCCCTATCTGCTGTGTCTACGGAAGGCCACCTATTTTGGCCTGGGAAGCAGGAAATGGGGGAAAAAATACAGGCCTGGAGGGGGCTGACCTCACAATGGTACCTTTAAACCTCAGCCTGCTCCCACTAAAGGGTCTTGGGACACAATGATTGATGACCCTTCCTGGCTGCAGAACAGGAATTCCTTTTTTGCATTCCCAGCCATGGGCCCATCCAGTACCCAGCACAGTTCTGACAGGGAAGAAGACTTGGTATCAGGACCACCTCTGCAAGGAAGCCATACACTCAGAACCAGACATGCTGGCCTTAAAAAGCTTCTTGGGATGGTCCTGCCCCAACACTGTCCCCCATGGGCACTGGTAGTCAGAACCACCACAGGGCTCATGAGCCAACGTTGAGTCTCACGGACTCAGGTTTTTGTGTCTGACTTTCCATGAGCATTTCTCATTTCTGCAGGGATTGAACCAGGCCCAAGGCTCAGCCTTTCCCCACAAGCCCCTTCCCTGACCGGGCACCATAGCCGAGAGATGCCCGAGCAAGAGTAGCCAGCCAACACCCAAGAAGGCTTGGCATAGCAGGGCAGGGGTGGGTGTACAAGGAATGGCCAGAGGGCCTACCCCAGAGGGTCTCCCAGTGCCTCAGGCTCCTCTCTCTCCTAGGATGGCAGTCCAGCGACAAGCAGGTGGCCCTCAGCCACGGGGCTCGGGCCAGAAGATGGCAGGCCAGGCTTGGGATCTCCTTACGGGCAGTCACCTCGCCTCCCAGTCCCTCACAATGGCAGCAGCAGTGAGGCTACTTTACTGGCCCAGTTGGGCACCCTGCACGTGTCTCCACCCCACAGGTAGTACAGAGGCATAATCTTTGATGCCATACCCAGATCCCATTCTAATCCCCGAGCCCTTAAATCTCAGACCAGGTCCCATCCTGACCCTTAACACTTGATCCTTGGGTCTCAGCTGATTGCCTTCTGACTCATGAAACCACACCAGACCCTTGAGCTGGCAGAGTGAAGACTGGTACTGCAACCCTGTCCCTTAGTGCATCTTCTTTCGCCCAGCACTGACCTGGCCAGAGGCCTTTCGCGGAGCCGCGACTGCGGAGTAGACCTGGGCTCAGAGGTGTACAGGATGCTTCGGGAGTCGGCCGAGCCGACGGCTGCGGAGCCCAAGCAGTCAGGCTCCTTCCGCTACTTGCAGGGCATGCTAGAGGCCGGCGAGGGCGGTAAGATTTTACCTCACCTGCCTTCCCGCTCCCTGAGGTACCGAACTCCGCTCCCCCAACCAGCCCAAGCCACGCCTTTGCGACCCCACGTCCGGCCTCCCGGCCATTAGCCCCGCCCCCCGTGTCCCCAGCGCGCTCCCACACACCTCGCTGCGCCCGGGCTTTCTCGTTCCCACCCAACCCCTGTCGCCCTTCCAACCCCTATCCCAGTCTCTTTGCCGGTGGCTACGGAAGCAGGGCCCAGCCCCACACTCCGCAGAAATGAAGTTTTCCCTTTTCTGACCTCCGCACCGGGCTCTTGCCAATCGTGCTCTGGCTTTCAGGGGAACGGCCCGGGCCTGGCGGCCCCCGGAACCTCAAGCCCACGGCGGGCAAGCTAGGCGCTCCGCTGAGCGGCCTGCAGGGGCTGCCGGAGTGCACGCGCTGCGGCCACGGCATCGTGTGAGTACCTCCCCTGTCTTCCCCACCCGCCCCCCACCCCCGTGGTCCCCTGACCCCGCCCGAGGCCCTTAGTGGGGGCGTGCTCTCGGATCGGTCAGCTCCTGACGCTGTCCTCTCCGATCACCCGTCAGGGGTACCATCGTCAAGGCGCGGGACAAGCTCTACCACCCCGAGTGCTTCATGTGCAGCGACTGCGGCCTGAACCTCAAGCAGCGCGGTTACTTCTTTCTGGACGACCGGCTCTACTGCGAAAGCCACGCCAAGGCGCGCGTCAAGCCGCCCGAGGGCTACGACGTGGTGGCGGTGTACCCCAATGCCAAGGTGGAACTCGTCTGAGCCGCTCCCGGAACCTCCCATCCCCGCCTCTGCTTTTTTTAATGTCCCCGCGCACCCGTGTAAATATGTTTACGCCCTGCCTCTCTAATAAATTCCCTCTGCTTGACCTCAACCGTGTCGGTGCCCTGGCCTGCCTCCCTCCAGCACAGGCCATGGCTCCTGAGTGCTACACCTGTTCAGGTGCCAAGCATTTTCTTAGGCACTGGGTGCAAGGGGGAGCAAGACAGGTACTGTGGTGCCCTCAAGGAAGCCACAGCCTGGGTGGATGGCAGACATGAATCACAAGGGCAGTCCTGTTAATAGGGAAGCGAGGTCTGAGGTGCTAGAAGGGGACGTCACGCCAAAGGGTTTGACCTGGATGGAGTCAGGGAAAGTGTCAGCAGAGAAATAAGGGATGAGGGAGGGAAGAGCTCTACAGCGTGAGGATCTGTGTGCAAAGATATGTCAAAGGCGAGCACAGGCAGCAAAGGCCCCGTGTGGGCACCAGCACGAGCGCGGGCGGCCCCTAGCAGCTGCAGGAGGGACTGCCCCGCGGCGGATAGGACTGGGGAGATCACCAGTTTGGTTGGGGGCGGTATCTGCCTCCCGGCAATCTCAGCATTTCTCTCTTCCGGGTTTCTTCCCGTCCTCTCCGATCCCCCCGCCCCCGCCCACCCCCACCCCCCCACTGTATTCTTTCTCCTTTCCCACTCTCCGCACCAGGGAGCGCGCAGGGCGTGTGTGTGTCTGTGTGTGTGTGTGTGTGTGTGTGTGTGTAAGATTTTAGTAGAAAGAAAAGAACACTCGCCTCCAGAGTACACGCCACGCCACTCCTTCTCCGAGGCCTGGCCTTTCACAGCTCGGTTGCACACTCCTGTAGAGACTCGCACTTTTAAAAAATATAAGTGATAGCAGAGTTGGTGAATTGTGGCTGTTCGCACTCGATGACGCATCCTGGACTCCGGGTCACGTGGATCTACCCTCTCCTTAGGTTGCTCGGAAGAGGAAGCAGCCTCGTTTATTTAGTGAGCCCCGAGTAATGGACGATTGTGCTATATTCAGTTCTGTACTATCACAGACCACAAAAGACTGTTAGTGTTGCAGCAAAAATAGAAATCTTCTGATAAACAAAGAAAATAAGAAACAATGAGCAGGCTGGGGAAACAGCATAAACAGGCCTGAAAGAATTAAGCGATCTTGGTTATACTTTAGCTGTTACTACTAACAAACACTTGTCCTTCACAAAGCTAAGCAAAACCAATTACTCTCTGATTCCATATGAATTGTACCCTGCACCTGGCACTTACTCTTGCTGCATTCTCTTGTAGCAAATCACCCCTCTTAGCTGTTTACATTTCAGAAAGAAGGTCGCAGGCCGATAACCCAGAGATGAACAGACCCAATTACCAGGCTGCCTGACGCCAGCAGTAACTTTTAAAATATTGGAAGAAGAAGAAGAATGCAAGACATTCACCACTTTGATCCTTTTCACTTACCCTGGACTGCGGGTTCCACCTATAAGACCCCCTGTAATTCCCCAGGACAGAGGGGCACAGTTCTTGAGGCGCTGCATGCTCTGTCTTCCCTTGCGCATGGAAGAAAAATAAAGCCATCCCTCTCTTCCTCCAAAATCTCTGTCTCTGTATTTCTGTTCGGCATTGGTGCACAGGAAGCCGATATTTCGGCAACATTACCGATTCACACTCTCACCATCAGCACGTGACAGTGCTCATTTCCTCATGCTCTTGCAACACAGGGTATTACCAGGTTTTTATTTTTCATTTTTGCCAATCTGATAAGTAAAATGCGATATGTAGTTACTTTAATTTGCATTTCTCTGATTACCAGAGATGAGCATTCATTCAACAAACATTTGTTGTGTTTGCTGGTGGGTGCTGAATGAACATGGAACAGAATGGTCTTCTCCCTCCAAGAATTCCTCTAAATCCTTCACTCATTTTTCTGAGGATTAACTTCTTAATGATAGATAGGAACTTTTCATATTTTTGCAAGAACCTTTGTTACTGGACCCTATTCCACTGAAATATTTTCTTATTATTGAAACTATCATATTGATTTAATTATTACCTCTTAAAGAGTTTAACGTGCTAATCTCTCCTCCTCGTTCTTCGTTTACAAACTTGCCAAGGTTATTCTCATACATTTCCAATTGTCCAGAGGTTTAGACTCAGTATCAGGCTCTGGAAAAACAGACAACAAACCCCTTTGAACCGTGACTGGGGTTGCCCTGATTCTAGAGACTCACTTGGGGAGAACTGGCTAGAATCCTTTCCTCCCAGAGAATACTGTGATCTGTGCTTATTCTGCATTTATTCAGGTTGATGAAATAAAAATTCAGATTTTAAGGCAAGACCAAAAAAAATTTAAACATAAAACTTTTTCTCTGCCCTTTAGCCTCCTCCCTCCCCCTAGTGTGCACTGCGCAGCTTCCATGTGCGTTAACTAGACCTCCCCAATGGCAGAAATACCTCCTCAACCATAAATATCAATTTTTCTCCTGGTACCAGCCATGTAACTCTTAGAAGGTAACACTCCTTTCTCAATCCTGTAAGGGGTCATGATGACACACCTCCACTTGCCTTGTATGTGTCTACCTCTTTGGTGAACTTTATGTACAATGCCAGTGTATAATTTCCCTTAAAGATAGTGATTGGTGCAGAATAGACTGGTCAGACGACCTGGGTAAATACTGGGCCACACCTAGTGGAAGTTCTTAGCTTAAATACTTACTTATGACCTTATTAATGTTACTCGATATATTTCTTCTTTTTTTTTTTTTTAACTGGTACGTGGGCCTCTCACTGTTGTGGCCTCTCCTGCTGCGGAGCACAGGCTCCGGACACGCAGACTCAGCAGCCATGGCTCACGGGCCCAGCTGCTCCGCGGCATGTGGGATCTTCCCGGACCGGGGCAGGAACCCGTGTCCCCTGCATCGGCAGGCAGACTCTCAACCACTGCGCCACCAGGGAAGCCCTCGATATATTTCTTATATTCTGCCTATTTTGCCAGATTATTGTTTCTTGCATTACCAAATGTGTGACTGAGCCTCAGATAAAATTAATGATTAGGCAACTTGAAATGACTGACCAAATATATAGATCTATAAGATCAATGAGTGTGATAGTGTAACTCTAGATATGTGAAGAAGCAACAAGAGGGAACCATTTCCTGGACCGTAACAGACTAGTGAGATAGGCAGTCCAGAGGCCTTTAGTTACTGTTAACAGGGCCTAGTCCAGTAATAGCACATTGAGTGGCCTATCAATGAAGTCCTCGACTGACCTGGGAATGAACATTCCTAGTGTCATGGGACAAATTGGTCATGAAATGGCCCCCAGACCTCGGTTGAAATTAAGACTGAAAGGGAAGGGATTGTAAAATAAAGAATGTTGCCCACCATCCAGTTCTACAAGAATCAAGTCATTAGCCACTTCAGTCACTGACCTACAGTAGACCCTGAAAAGAATTCAAGGCAAAGATCAGGATGAGGCACTCTGTGTTCTGGGAAAGGTGGTAGAACAGGCCTTCAGAGAGTTAGATATTTTCAGGAGAAATTTTTAAGAACCTTGATTCTTGCATCTTCTCATACTGAGAAAAGCACTAAAACCATTAACTAAGATGTCTGTTGCTCATGGCTAGCAGCAACCTTCTACTGAGATGTGAGCTGGATTGGTAGTATCCACTTAAACAAAATCACATATATATTGACCTCCCCACCTACCTCTACGAACAGTTCTCAGAGCGCTCTCAGACTGTCTCCTGGGCTATAATCCTCAGTTTGGCTCAAATAAAATCTTTCATTTCTTTCTTAGGTTGACCATTGATTAACTTTTTTCATTGACAGAGTGTTGTGAAGTACTCTGGTATATTTTTATTTCCATTTTCTTTTTATAGATCTTGTGTTCCTGCTTTAATTAGTTCCTAGGAATTTCTTCCAAGGCTCCTCCCGCGGACCCCACCCCTCCCCTCCCTCAAGGAGCACAGGGCAGTGTGCAAGTGTCCTCTGAGAACTGAGTGGCTGGAGTCTTGTGCCCTGGTCCTGCAGGCCTGTGCAGTCTGCAGACAAGGTCAGGCACCACCGGCTCATATGGTGAGCAGAGGACTGGCCCGCAGCGGGGGAAGCTATTAGGCTCAGGATCTCCAGTGAAAAAATCCTGTAGCCTCAGGCACAGGCCCCCACCCCTCTCCCAGACTCAAACCTGCCGAAACCTGGCTCCCCACTCCCAGCAGCCGCCCTTACTCGCCTTAATCCCACAGCCACCACCTCCCCACATGGGGCCTACCCACCCCAATTGAGGGGTCCTCCAGTTACCTAGGTACCATTAAGAGATCGAGCAAAGCTGCAGCAACTGTTGCGGAGACTCAGCCTCTGTTCACCAGTGCTGAATAGAAACTCGGAAACAGAGTTTTGGGGTGAAGTAGAGAAGAATAGCTTTGATTGCTTTGCCAGGCAAAGGGGGCCACAGTGAGCTAATGCCCTCGAGACTGGGTGACCCACCTTGGAGGGGGTAGTGAGGAGTTTTATAGTGTTCAAGGAGCAGGGTATTATCAGCTTGTGGACAGTTCTCAGACTGGTTGGCATAAGGTGAAGTTTCAAGCATCATCAACCTTCTGGCTTTAACCAGTCTAGGGTCTATGTTCTTGGGGTCAGCAGTTTTCATCTGGTGGGAGGGGGGCTGCTTCCTATAAACACAGCTTAGTAATGTGTGTCAGACCTTTATATCTTTCAGGGAACTGGGAGTTCGGTGATTCTGCCATGTGACAGATTTATAGTCTAATTTTTACCATTTTCCCAGCCCAACAGCTATTCTTTGTTTCTACATCTTCACATTTCCCAATCACTAACTCTTGAGTCAGCCTTTTACTTCAAAAGACAAGGACACAGGGGCTTGTACATGGTTTCACAACCAGATCAACCCTTGCCAAGGTAGGCATCCTGCGGGGTCGGGGGGGGGCAGTAGCCAAGAGGAGTGTTGCCAGAGCTGCCAGTCTTCCCTGCTTCAAGGCCCAGGCTCTACCCAGTCCCCCAACTACCTCCTTTGCCCAGGGGCGCTGACTGACCCCAAATGTGCTGGACCATGAAAAGCTTGGGACAAGCTGCGGAACAAGGCCTTTGTGACCCAGGGTCCCAGTCCTGAGACGGGGCAGCTGAGTCTCCAGGAGGAGACACAGATCTAGGGTCCCCAATTCAGAAATCCCAGCCCACCTGCCCCAGACCGACCCCTCGTTATTGTCCCGAAACCTGCCCCTCTCTCACATCTTCACCTCAGGGGCCTTCAAACCAGAGGCTTGGACATCATTCTCTACACCTTCTCCCCAGCCATCCCATCCTACCCATCACTGTGTCTGGGGTTCTGCCTCCTAAGCATTTCTGCGGCCCATTTCAGGACAGCTGGAGAATTCTCTTATTCCCTTGCTTCATGGACCCCCTCCCCTGGCCAACATGGCCCCAGGGCCCTCAGGATAGAGCCCCTGACTGATCAATTGTAGGCCTACCATTTAAGGCCTCTTGGGACTGCAGGTTGCTGACCGACCGTGTGTCTTACTTCCTCTGCTACCCAAGACTGTTCACCGTTCTTTGAGCAATCCTGGCTTTTCATACCCTCAGACCTTTTCTCAAGCTCGAAATGCCTTTATTCTTTCTTCTTCATTCAGCAAACTCCTACTCACTTTTTAAGGCCCAGCTCCACTGTCCCCTCCCCTAGAGCAAAGCCTTGGCCGGCCCATCCCCAGGCAAAATCAGTAGTAGTTCCCATCCACATGCCCTCCATCCTACCCCCTCCATTCCTTCTTGATGCTTCTGACACAGCCTATGATCTCCTTGGTCAGAGCCTGGCCCAGACCTACCACCACCCTGCCCAGATCTCAGGTCAGGCATGGAGAGGTGCAGGGGCCCTGGGGCCAGCACCGACCCTCTCTCTGACACACACATACCTTGGGCCTCCCTGCCTCTTACCACTTTCCTCCTCACCTTGCTCTCCTAGTTTCTGCTGGCATACTGCCTAAACCCTCAAGAGGAGGTAAGGCCTAGAGGGCAACTGCCTCATTCCTGCATCCTCAACCTCAACCTCAACTCATTCATTCAACTAATTATTTACTAAGAATCTACTATGTTCCAGGCATTGTGCTACATACTAGGAGACATTTTGAACAAACATATTTTAAAAGCACAGATGATAAGCAGTGCTTAATGGAAATAAATAGGATATTACAGTAGAAAATAAGGAGTAAGGGAGCATCTGTGTGGATATCTGGTAAACTGCATTTCAGGCCAAGGGAGCAGGGAACATAGAGGCCCTGGACGGGGCAGGGAGGAGGAGACATGTGCTTGCCTGTCTTAAGAACAGCGAAGAAATGTCTGGAGTAGTGTAAGTGAGGTGCCAGTAGAAGTATACAAGCTCAGAGAGACATGGGGGTGGGAAGACTGGCCACGTTGACCTTGTAAGCCTCAGGAAGGACTTTGGCTTTTACTCGGAGAGGAGAAGCCAGAGGAGTGGCATGACCTGGGCTTTTATGTTTTAACCAGGATGACTGTGTCTGCTGTATGGAGAATAGACTGTAAGGGGCAAAGGTGGAAGCAAGGAGACCAGTTCGTAGGCATGACTGCATTCATCCCTGACTAATCCCTAACTAGCCTCCATAGCTGTCCTCCATAGCTCCAAGCCCCAGTTCAGGCCCCTACATTCTCCTGCCTGGCTGTAACAGCCTCCTGACTGGCCTTCCTGTCTCCCATCTGGCACCTCAATCTTTTCTCCACCCAACAGCAAAGAGAGATTTTTTTTTTTTTTTTTTTTTTTTTGCGGTACACGGGCCTCTCACTGTCGTGGACTCTCCCGTTGCGGAGCACAAGCTCCGGACGCGCAGGCTCAGCGGCCATGGCTCACGGGCCCAGCCGCTCCGCGGCCTGTGGGATCTTCCCAGACTGGGGCACGAACCCGTGTCCCCTGCATCGGCAGGCAGACTCTCAACCACTGCACGACCAGGGAAGCCCAAAGAGAGATTTTTAAAATGCAAATCTGACTATGCCACTCTTGTCTATTAAAGCTTCCATGGCTTCCCATTAGGACAAAGTCTAAACTCCTGAACCCAGCCCACAAGGTCCCATGAGGTGCAGTCCCTGCTGAAATTTGCTGACAGCCCTGCCTCAGGTCCCCATAATTGCAGTTGTGCTGATCTGTAAATTCAGCTTCCTCAAGATCTTTTTCCAGACTCTTACAGGCTTCCTTGACCCTCCAAGGAGCTAGAAATGAAAACTGAGTCCTTCTTTCTGGTTCTCTGTGTGATAAGCTTTATTCTCCCAACTTCCACCTTGAGAACCAAGGAAAGGGGTGAGGGCAGGAGAAACCCAGATGCTCCTTCAAGCCAGCCCTCCCTTCCCGGCCAAGGACTCAGCCCCTCTTGGTGGCACAGCGGCCTGGCCCTGTGGTAACAGCCCATGAACAGCTGAGTTAGGGGTGTTGTGACCTGCACTGTGACGCCCAGAAGCCTGGGCTATGGGCCCAGAGAGTCCTGTTGACCACTCAGGGAGTGCCCTGTCCCCTCCTCCACCTGTGGGTCCCCCTGCCCAGCTTATCTGCACTGCAGCTCCATCCTGGGGCTCATTCTTACCCAGGGTAACAGCTGCTTGACTTTAGTCCCCATGCTAACCCCTGATTTGCTTTCTACAACTCTGGGTAATTTCCTGGTTTATCATTTTCTCACATAATGTTCAAAATTTTCCCACAAAATAGTCCTTAGCACCTCTGAAAAGAGGTGGAAGTCTAAAAAGAAATGAGGGTAGTAAAGGGGTCTGTAATAAGCAAGGACCGTTCTTCTGTGCCCCCTCTACCACAAGTAGGAAACTACTTGGAAACCAAATTTTGTCTTTGCTCCTGTCTGATGTGGACCATCTGTGGCTGAAGGTAGAGGCTAGAAATCCCAGGAAAGGCTGCCAGAGGCCTTACCTGTTCCTGCAGGGTCTGGGGTTGGCCTCAGCCATGTGGGCTCAGAGACCTGACTGACCAGCCCTGTGAGCAGGTCTGTCTCCCCAGTCTGACTGGGTTAGCGAAGCTCAGAGGCTGAAGCACCACACCATACACCAGCTTCTTTACCAATATAGGCAGCAGTGGAAGGATACTCGGCTTCTCTCCAGGGTATTCTTGGCCTAAAGGCACATTTCATGGGAAGCCAGAGCGGTTACAGACTCAGAGGAAGTCTCAGAGGATGCAAACTGGGTAAGAAATATCATAGGAGCTAATATGTCCCAGGTCTTCATCTTCAAGTCCTTAGTGAACTGATATTACTCTTCTTTCATCTTCACATAAACCTGAAAGGAAGTACAGTTATTATCCTCACTTCATGGATGAGCTTAGAAAGGTTGAGAAACTTGCCGAGGTCACACGCTGGTTAGCTGATCTCCATGGCAAGAACACCCAGGGCAGTCGCAAGTACGCATCTTCCCTGGAGAACATTGCCTGTCCTACCAACGGCCTAGTGACTCTTGCCAGGCCACTTCTGAAGGGTGCTGGCCTATCTCTGCTTGTCAAGGTCCCTAGAACAGCCCAGAGTGCAGCTCAGAGGCACCAGCTCTTCACACAGGGCCAGGCTCCTCCATGGAGCATGGAATGGTGGAAGATGAGCTGAGTCAAGGTGACCCCTGAAGCTTTGGGTCTGGGTGTAGACAAGGCTGGTGCACACAGCACCTGTTCATAAACTCTGGCTTGCACGAACCCACCCCCACACCTGCCTGACTTGGGCCTGGGGTCAGGTTTGGATCCCTGCGCTAAATGGGCTGTTCTGACTCCTCACTACCTCCCCCTCCCACTTCATGCAGTGCCTTCTCAGCCTGTGTTCCTGTCCACTCCCCTGCCTGTCCCTGAGGCACCAGCCTCCTCAAGCTTCTGGCCCAGCTTCTCCTTTCTTCTCCAAATGCTCATTCTCAAGAGTGCCTTGGGTTGTTTGCACTGCCTAATAATAGATCCCTTCCAAACTTCCCCCGCCCTCTTTTTGTAGTCTCACCCAGTCCCACTGGAATTAGTCTGGGAGGATAGAGCTCAAAGGCCCAGCCAAGGGATGGTTCTTCCCCTACAGGCTCAATCTTAAGCTGACTGTCCTACTGTGACTCCACTTAGGTTTGTACAGCAGAGAGAACTATACTCAATATTTTTTAATAACCTACAAGGGAAAAGAATCTGAAAATATATCTATATATAACTGAAATACATATATATTTTAAAATATAAATCTAAAAATATATAGTATATATATATATATATATATATATATATGGAGATATAGATATTTATGTGTCTGGATCACCGTGCTGTACACCTGAAACTAACATAATATTGTAAATCAACTACACTTCAATAAAAATTAATTAACTAATTAAATTTTTTAAATTAAGAATCTTTTAGGTCAAGTATGGTCTATCCTCTGCCAACCTTTGCAATCTCATCCGTCTGCCTTTCCCAACCACTGGTTTAGTGTTCACATGGCAGGTGTCTGGGTTGGAGCAGATTGCCTGGGTGCCAGGGGGTGGCCCAGGGATCCACCCGCCCCACATAGTTGACTCCAGGCCCTTTTGGTCAGAAGGAGCAGAGGCAGGGTTTGAACCTATAAATGAGGCTGCCAGGGTCTAGCCTTCCTCATGTTCCTGGGCAGCACCCAATGAAGGGCAGCACAGGCTGCATCCTCCGTGGTCATATATAAGTAGGATGACCACATAGGACTCCTCAAGCTCACAACTTCAGATATTCCAGGCACACTGTTTATAGCAACCAGCCACTGATATAGCCACCAGCTTCTCTGGGGTATCCCAATCTCAGCTGTGCTGCTTACTTCTCACTTTCTGCTCCCGGACTCCTCGGACGCTGAGGCATGGAACACATATAGAAACCCGCTCAACATGCATGGGTGTGCAATCTGGAAGTACTGGGGGGTTAACACCCAACAGGGCACACCTGAACCAAGAAGGGTGGGAACCTATGGATTAATGTTGCCTACTTCTGAATCTTCGACATTTCTGAGACACATTCCCCCAGGTCCCCACAGCTGTAAACAACCCTATGCTGTACCTTTGTACTTGCTTTTCTTCTTCTCTGTTTTACTCTCCACCATCCCTTACTCCTGTTCCCTTAGAGTCATTCCCAAATAGAAGGCAGTCTAGAAGGCAGACTTGCAAGGAAGGGACTCTAGAACTGAAACAGTCCCCTTTCTAACAGAGATAAGGACCCCATTACTGTTAGTAAGTAGGATGGTAATAATCCCAGCATGCAGTAGCATCATTTACCAGAACTCCTGTGATTAGAGATTAGAAAGAGATGCAAGGGGAAAGCGAAGCATTGGCTTGTGTCAGTGCTTTTTAATCAGGGGCTATTCTACCCCCCAGGGGACATTTAGCAATGTCTGGAGACATTGCTAAATGCCTGGTACCACTAGGAGAGTGTACTATGGCATCTAATAGGTAGAGGCCAGAGATGCTGTTAAACATCCTGAAATACATAGGACAGCCCCTCACAAGAAAGAATAATCTGGTTCAGAATTTCAATAGTGCCAAGATTGAGAAACCCTGGTTATGGCACAGAGAACATATGAGGACAATGGTGATTATAAGGATGATGGCCTTGACTGACTTTTGCTAAGTGCTTTAGAAGCCTTGGAAAAAGAAATGATAGTCCCAGGTCAGCCAACTCTAAACTCAAGGTACACTGTGAAAGCCAGGAGGCCTCCATAGAAGCTTTTAAAGAGACCTTTATCTCCTGCAGCCACAGGACAGACTGTGTTGGAAATCAGACCCAGGGCTTATTTAATTGATGTAACTATAAGGGTAGGAGAGCTACAACAAAAGGCTGCATGCACAGCTTTGTTAGGTCTATGACAAAGTCATGGCCCTGATACAAAATACACGGAACCCTGGAACATGGAACAGGGACATTTGGGTCCGTTAATTGAGAGTTTTTAATTCCTGGATTCCCCCAAACCTTTAAGGCCAGCAGCAGCAGCTCTCTTCCCCATACTACAGGAGAGTAGCCTCTCCTTGACTGGAATCCCTGCCAAGACTCCTCCTAAGGCAAGTGGCTCCAGAGGTGACGCCTATCCTCCTCCGGATCCTCCCTACCTCCCCTCATGGTCTCTATACTAGAATTAGGTTTCAGCATAGTCTAAGTGGGGAAATACAGTCCCTGATCCACAAGGAAATAGCATATATATTGAAAAAATGACAGGACCTATGTTCTGGTAGGAACAGGGGTAAAATGTGTGGGAATTTACTAATCTGGAAGCATTCTCTCATTACGCTGGGTTTAACATCCAAGCAAGGATACATAAAACCATCTTCATAAGCTTCTGAGATGGCTCTTCGGTACTTGGATACAATTATGGCCTATGGAAATGAGGTGGAAATGCCAGAGCTTTCTTGACAGTATCAAAGGAGTCAGAAGGCCCAGGGGAGTGAGAATGTTAGATTGTTTTTAACACGCAAGACCAGAGAACCTATCACCGGATTATATTCCCAAGCCAAGTTCATCAGACACTCCCTTCACTAAGGCAATAGAAAATGCACAGGTGTGGATCTCTAGTGTTAGCGGGGATGGTAGGATTCTAGAATAGCAGAGGCTGGATGGTGACACTTAAACAACAGAGGCAGGGTGGATGTAATTACAGACCAAAGGGGCAACCAGAGGGCTTCAACCCATGGGATCTGTGGTGATGGCTAATACACCACGCTTTTCCTAGGAGTTAAATAAATGGGCAGATTGACTATTACTTGACTTATATAACAACCTCACCCCCAAAAGGAAGAGCTAGTGATCAGAAGGCTGATGACAACTGCTACAATGGAAAATAGTGTTTCCTCATAAATTTCCCAGATCCAGGCCAGTTCACGAGCTCAGAGCCTATTAATTGAAAAGGAGTCCAAGTCTCTTTAAGGAAGAACCCTCCTATACTGCTAAAAGTATTTATGATAATTACTTCCCCAATCTTTCCCTGTAAGGGATCTGTGGCTATCTCAGACTACTCAGGCTGCTATAACAAAATACCACAGACTGGGTTGCTTAAACAATAGAAATTTATTTCTCACAATTCTGAAGGCTGGAAAGTCCAAGATCAAGTGCTGGCCAATTCAGTTCCTGTGAGAGTCTTTTTCCTGGCTTGTAGATATCTCTCTGGTGTCCCTTCTCATAAGGGCACTATCCCATCATGAAAACCCCACCCTCATGATCTAATCTAAACGTAATTATTTCCCAAAGGCCCCATCTCCAACCATACTTCCACACTGGAGGTTAGGGCTTTAACATATGAATTTGGTGGGGGGTGGGGGGTGGGGGGTGGGGTGGGGTGGGGTGGGACGCAATTCAGTCCATAGCAGTGGCCTTTAACCTGAGTAACTCTGGCCTGAGGAAAGGGAAAGACCCAGAGCTGTCAAGAGCTGTTGGATACAGAGTATGAGCTGGCCCTGATACTAATGGACAGGAAGCACCATTAGGGTCCCCCAGTTATACTGGGGGCTCATGAAAGCCAGGTGGTAAATGGAGTTCTCCTGCAAGCAAGTCTAGTGGATTTAAAGATCCACACTGGATCTTTAGTAGTTCCCTGGTCCCTAAGTGCATACCTAGGAGAGATACACTTAGCAGCTGGCAAGACCCTACCATTTACTCCCTGTCCTATTAAATAAGAGAAATTATGGTAGGAAGGACCAAACAGAAGCCTCTAACACACCCACATTTTTGACCAATTTATTACATCAGAAGTAAAAACACCTCCTTGGAGGAATTACAGAGATTAGCACCAACATCAAAGGTTTTCTTCTTTTTATCCCTCAGTATGGAGGATCAAAAGCTTTTTTTATGTGGGATGAATAGCAGTACATATCACTGTCTTGCCCTTAGGTTATGTTAATTCTCCGGCTCTCTGTCACAATATAGTATTTAGTGACTTTGTCTTGATATTCCATAGAACATCATGATGGTCCACTGTACTGATGACATAATGCTAATATATCATAACCTAGTGAGCAGATGTCCTAGTAAGACACATTCATACCAGAAGATGGGAGATAAAAAGTATGATTGAGGGCCTTCCATGCTGGTGAAGGTTTTTTTACCTTTTTGTTCCAGAGTGAGTTAAATGTATATAAAAGTTGACAAAGTAGTAAAATGAAACCCTAGGACCAATATTATGGCCAATCTTATTTCATCTATATCCTCACCCACTTCTTTCATTCCATATTATTTTGTTTTTGTTTTTGCTTTTGCGGTACGTGGGCCTCTCACTGCTGTGGCCCCTCCCACCGCGGAGCACAGGCTCCGGACGCGCAGGCTCAGCGGCCATGGCTCACAGTCCCAGCCGCTCCGCGGCATGTGGGATCTTCCCGGACCGGGGCACGAACCCGTGTCCCCTGCATCGGCAGGCGGACTCTCAACCGCTGCGCCACCAGGGAAGCCCCATGTTATTTTGAAGCCAACTGGTGAAGTTATTAGGGATCCAGTAGTCTGAAGCATGCCAGGCCATCCTCTGTAAGGTAAAGGCAAGTTGTTGTACCCTGTACCCTCTACCACTAATAAAAAGACATAGTGCTTGGTGAGAATACTGCTCTAACCCATTTAATGGGTGCCTTGGAAGGCTCCCACCTTTGAGTGAAACCCAGAGCAAGAGAGAGCTCTACAATGTGTCCAACTATAGTACAAGGTTCCCTGCCATTTGGTCCACATGACCCAGCAGAATCAATGTTGCTAGAGGTGTTCATGGTGATAAGGATGCTGGGTAAAGTCTCTGATAAGCCATAATAAAAGAGTTTCAGTAAGATCTCTAGGGTGCGAGAGCAAGGTCATGCCTTCTGTAGCAGGGAGCTATTTGCCTTTTGAAAAGCAGCTATTTGGCTATACCTGCCAATGGGACATCAAGGGTCTATGCAACTAGAAATATCCAGTAAGAGCTAGTTATTGTCAAATTCTATCAAGTCATAAGATTAAGCAGGCACGTAAGCAATCCATCATATAATAGAAATGGTAGAGTCAGGATCAGGATTGAGCAGGTCCATACAGTTCAGGTAAGTTAACAGGTGGCTCAGACTCCATGACACCTACACCTCAGCTATACCATCACTTCTCCCTCAACTCAAACCTATGGTCTTATGGGGGTGGTTCTCTATAACCAACTGATAGAGGGAAAAAAATACTCAGCCCTGTCTCACAGGTGCTATCAGCCAAAAAATGGATTGTTTTACTGCAACATAGCCCCACTTAGGAGTGGCCCTAAAGGACAATGGTGAAGGGAAATCCTCCCAATGGTCCAGCTATAAGCAGTGTACTTGGGCATTCATTTTGTATGGCAGGCGAAGTAGTTCAAGGTATGGACTTACATATACTCATGGGCTATGGCAAACAGTTTTGTGAAGTGGTACCTGCTGGCTCTCACACATGTACACCCTGAAAGTGCAGGGGAGTCGACCAGTGGAGCCAGAACTAGTAAACAAATGCCTCTTCATTCTCTAAGGCTCTTTAGAAGGTCCCAGCTGGATCAAATCCCAATTACCCACAGCAATTAGGGTTGGGAAAAAGCTAAGGCAAGTAAAAAGAGTGAGTCACTTGCCTCAGGTGCAAAATTTAAGGGGGTGCCAAGAAATTCAATAATCAAGATAAATAATATTTTAACATAGTATTTTTAAAAATCAAAACGAATATAAAAATCCATGATGAACAAAACATCAAAATTTTAAGATACGGGCTTCCCTGGTGGCGCAGTGGTTGAGAGCCCGCCTGCCAATGCAGGGGACATGGCTTGGTGCCCCGGTCCGGGAAGATCCCACATGCCTTGGAGTGGCTGGGCCTGTGAGCCTGTGCCTCCAGAGCCTGTGCTCCACGACGGGAGAGGCCACAACAGTAAGAGGCCTGCGTACCACAAAAAAAAAAAAAAAAAAAAATTTTAAGATACGATCAGTTATTACTAATTTTTTCCTTTGGTCTCAAGCTCTGATGTCACAGCACATCACTGTCACTGATCCTGGTCAGTACCAATGACCAGCTCAATTACACAGTCTTGTGTCAGCCTTACCTCCTTCCCTGTTCACTCTACCTAGTGCTTCACTCCCTTCCTTGGGATCACTACTATAAATAAATGATCTCCACATAAATTCTTATCTCAGGCTTTGATTTTTCATTGGGGGACAGGGGAGGCTGAAATCTAAGCTAAGTAAGACAATGACCACAGGAAATATTGTTCAAAGAAGGATTCTTGTGAAAGGAAAGGGAAACGCTATTAACAATTCTACTGGACTAATAGGCATAAATCACAGCTGTCCTGGCACATCTAGACATATGGTCTTATTACACATAAGGAAACTAAGGTTCCAAGGCGGTAGGAAGCCCCTCTCCCTGTAGACTGGAGGCTACAAAAAATGAGGCAGAAACGTCTCCCACCTCTTAACCAGCACCTGGAGAAGCAAACACACTTGTACAAAATCTCCAAAGAGATGGGCCCTTCATCCTGTCAATCACATCTGCCTCAGGAACCCCAGGACTCCCACTGCAGGCCCAGGCTAGCTCACACAACAGCAGAGGGGCCTTAAGCCTGGACACGAGCAGACTGGTCCCTGCTCTGGTTACCCTGCCAGAACTGGGCGGCAAACTGGACCTTCTCCTCCTCCCTTCCTCCCTCCCTCTGTTACCGGACCATGGGGTGCCCCTTCTGCAAACTTGAGGCCTCCAGTCCAAGAAGACTCTGGCAGCCAGCCTCAATGAAGAGCCCCAGGGGATCAAAATCAGAGCCCAGGAGTAGTGACAGCTGGGCCTCCATTACCGTGCTCTCACGAAGGACCAAGCTCCGTGTAGTATGTTCTCCAGAGGCCCCAAAAGGATCCTGGGACGACCCGGCAGTCCTTGCTCCCCACCTCCCCTCAGTCCGAGCTTGTCTCTGACGCACCGCGATCTTGATCATCCCTGTTTCCCCCTTTTCCGGGCTGTCCCGAAGCCGCCGGCAGGTGACTGAATCCAGCTTGGGGGTTGATGAGCGCCGGGTGGGCGGGCGCCGGCCACTTGCGCTGCGGCGGGCCAGAGGAGAGGGCGCGCTCCTGTCGCCCCTGCGCCCGCAGAGCACAGGCCCCACGCACTAGCCCGTCAGCGCCCCGCCCGAGGCCCCCTTCGGGCTGGAAGCGGCAGAGGACCCCTGCCCAGGACGAGGTCTGTGGCGACGCCGACAGACAAGGTCGAGGCCCGACCTCTCAAAGACCTTGCTCTGCGGCCTCGACTCTTCCCATTCGCCCGCTTGCCCGTGAGGCCCTACCCGGCAGCCCGGGGCTGGGCGCTCAGCACCTAGGGGGCGCGGGGGCCGGGGATGGGGCGCGGGAACTGGGCCTATTTTCCGTACGGAGGCGGCACCGCTGACCTCCTAGCCTCAGCGGGGTGTCTGGCGGGGTCGCCGGGGGCGAGGAGCAGAGCAAGGGCGGAGCCGCCCCGGAGCCCCACCCCATCCAGCCCGCTGCCTCGCCCTGCCCCGCCCCAACCGGGATCGGGGTGTGGTCCCGAGTTTCTACCGTGGCTTCCAGCTTTGCGTCCAGCTCCTAGGAACCTTCCAACGCCCGCAGCCCGTTTCCTGGGAACGGTGCAGGCCGCGCGCCTCACTTTCCCTCAGCCGGCCTGGCCCGCGAGAACGTTCTGACGCCCCCGGGGAACGCCTTCCACCGCGCGACACTGTCCGGGGAGCGCTCTTATCATCCCTCGTTGCCAACGGCAGAGCAGCGGCGGGGAGCATGCAGGACTACGACGAGGTGACTGCCTTCCTGGGCGAGTGGGGGCTCTTCCAGCGCCTCATCTTCTTCCTGCTCAGCGCCAGCATCATCCCCAACGGCTTCAACGGTATGTCAGTCGTGTTCCTGGCGGGGACCCCGGAGCACCACTGTCGGGTGCCGGACACAGCGAACCTGAGCAGCGTGTGGCGCAACCACAGCCTCCCGCTGCAGCTGCAGGACGGCCGCGAGGTGCCTCACAGCTGCCGCCGCTACCGGCTCGCGACGATCGTCAACTTCTCGGCGCTCGGGCTGGAGCCGGGGCGCGACGTGGACCTGGAGCAGCTGGAGCAAGAGGGCTGCCTGGATGGCTGGGAGTTCAACCAGGACATCTACCTGTCCACCATCGTGACCGAGGTGGGTATGTGAGCGACCCAGTATCTGCATCAGTCCCCCTCGAGACACCCTGGCAGTGCCTGGGTCAGCGTCCCCCACTCATCAAACCTGGCCAGCAGTCACCTGAGTTGTACTTCCAACACAGGTGTGCAGCCCAAGAGAGCAGAACTCAGGCTCATTCCCCATCGGTTTGTCTTGTAGGGAGGGGATGAAGAAGGGAGAAGGGAAGCAGTTGTCAACTGCCTTTTCCTCTGGCAGTTTCACAAAAGACGAAGTTGTTTCCCAAGAGCCTAGATACTGCCAACCCCAGGCTCCCCAGATGGACAGCCTGAGTCAAGTTCCTGCCGTAGGCATGAGGAGGGGGTGTGGGGGATGCTGCTGAGCCACGTGTAGACACAAAGAAGAGTCTTGCTGCTGGGCAGGGCATGGGCAGGTGTGGTCTGTTCCCTGGCCACAGGCTTCTGGAAGCATCACGGGGTCTCCTGCTCTGCCATACAACTATGGTAAGGCTTGGGTTCTGTCCTGAGCCTCCAGTTTCTCTGAAAAGGAGCAGAAGGCCTCCTGATACGGGTGGAGTACAGGGAACTAGAGGAGGCATAACCCTGGCCCCAGGGCACTCCTGAAGGGACAGACTCACAGAGACCGTCTGAGCATAGGGCCCAGTGGTGGACAGAGGCTCCAGCTTATGCCATTAGCCCCTTAGCATCCTAAGTGGTTTGGTGGCAGGATTTCTAAGTTTCAGCAGTCAGAATACACACGTACTTTGTCCTCTGCATTTCCTGCTTTGCATCTGGTAAGGGCCAGGAGATGCTATGTCAGGGCACATCTCCTTCTGAGGAGGGTATCCTCATAGACTAGTTTCCTGCTATTAATCAGGCAGGTAGGATTCCCAGTTTCTGGCCCATCCTCTGCACCATGTGAAAACCTGAGCATGGCCTCTGCTAGTCTTTTATCCCCTTCCCCAGCACAATGTGGCAATAATTAGACACCATGTCTGGCCTTGTGCTGAACACCAGGCTATACACATCTGGGGTGTGGGGTCTGCTTTTGAAGCTCAAATACCGACGGGGACACTGGCTGTGTTCGAGAGAGCTAACATCAAACCTGGTTAATAACAGGGTTCTGGAACCTGAATTCAAATACTGGCTGGCTTGTTGTGTGACCTGGGGCAAAAAAACGGCCTTCTCTGTGGGGATAGCAGGGTGAGGAACTCCTTTAAGAAGGGATGATAAATTTGAACTGAGTCTGGAAATATGAGCAGGACTTGTCCAGGCAAAGAACATGGAAGATTCTGGGAATGAGAGTTCATAGATCAGGGTGGCTTGGAGTTCAACGGATGGCAGGTGAGGCTAGAAATGCCTACAGGGGCCTGTCCACAGTGAGCCTGGTAGGAATGTTGAAGAGTTGAGTATATTCTGAGGACAGCGAGGAAATAGTAAGGGTTCCAAGGAAGGGGTAACATGGTCAGATTTGTGTTTTTAGAAAGAACTGTCTCAAGCTGCTATGAAAATCAAGAAGCCCAGTGAGGAAGCTGTGGGAGTTGCCTTGGCAAGAGATGGGTGGCCAGCTGGGAGTGGTGGCTCTTAAGTCTGTAAGACCAGTAGAAAGTGGGCTCAGCCTATGGAGCGCCTCTGGATTCCTCCAGCATTGGTTCCATGCCTACCTTGGGCCCTGAGGTGGCCGTGCTTCTCTGGCTTTGATCCCCTAGCAGGGGTTCCTAGTGCTTACCCACCCTCTGCCCACAGCCTGATCCTGAGGGATCCAAAAGTAGGGGCCAGCTCACCCCACCTTAGTTCCTAGAAGTGTGGTCAGCACCTGAGCTGGAGCTGGCCCTACTGGCTGCAGCCCTCCTTGACCTGTCTCTTTCCCCTTCTTTACTGGTTTTGTTCACCTCAGGGTGTGAGGGGTAGGTAGCTGCTGGCTTACAAGTCCATAGCTATCCCTGTTGTACCCTGCTCACAGGGGCCTGTGGACACCTCTGGGGATGCACATCATCACACACTCACACACATGCACCAGGATTTGCTTTTTTCAGCAGCCTTTCCCTTCCTTGCTACCTTTTTGGGTGCTGGGAGTAAAATAAAAGGCAAAGGAGCACTAGTGGTTGGGAGGAAGGAGGGGAGAAGCATGAAAGTGAGTAGGGGGGAGGTGGTTCTGCCTAGAAAGGTGGTGGCACAAGGAGGAGCTCTGGAGTCAGACAGGTGGGTCTGTTCTGACCCCACCCCCAAGCACTGGGCTGACTTAAACAGGTTGCATCACTGCTCAATCAATGCCTCAATTTCCTTATCTATAAAAGGGGACACAAGCAAATGAAAAGATGCTCAACATCATTAATCATTAAGGAAATGTAAATCAAAACCACAATGAGATGTCACCTCACATTCATTAGGTTGGCTGCTATTAAAAACAAACAAAACAGAAAAATAACAAACAAAGATGTGGAGAAGTTGGAACCCTCATGCACAAAATGTAAAATGGTGCAGCCACCATAGAAAACAGTGTGGCAGACTCAATAAATTAAAAATAGAATTATCGTATGATCCAGCAATACCACTTCTGGGTGTATATTCAAAAGAATTGAAAGCAGGATCTTGAAATATTTGTATACCCATGTTCGTGGCAGTATTATTCACAATAGCCAAAGACGTAAAAGCAACTCAAATGTCCAGCAACAGATGAATGGATAAATAAAATGTGGTATATACATACAGTGGAATAGTATTCAGCCTTAAAAAGGAAGGAAATGCTGACACAATGCTACAACATGAATGAAACTTGAGAACATTATGCCAGGTGAAATAAGCCAGACACAAAAAGACAGAAACTGGGGCTTCCCTGGTGGCGCAATGGTTGAGAGTCCGCCTGCTGATACAGGGGACACGGGTTCGTGCCCTGGTCCGGGAAGATCCCACATGCCGCGGAGCGGCTGGGCCCGTGAGCTATGGCCACTGAGCCTGCGCGTCCGAGCCTGTGCTCCGCAACGGGAGAGGCCACAACAGTGAGAGGTCCGGGTACCGAAAAAAAAAAAAAAAAAAAGACAGAAACTGTATGATTTCACTTATATGAGATATGAAGAGTAGCCAAGCTCATAGAAACAGAAAGTAGAATGGTAGTTGCCAAGGGCTGGGAGGAGAGGGAAACAGGGAGTTATTTAATAGATATAGAGTTTCATTTTGCAAGATGAAAAGAGTTCTGGAGATTGGTTGCATGATAATGTGAATATATTTAACTCTACTGAACTGTACACTTAAAAATTGTTGAGATGGTATATTTTATGTTGTGTGAATTTTATTATAGTTGTTAAAAATGAGAATCATAAGAATGTCCAGCTTATCCAAGTTGTTGGGAGGATTCGATGAGATCATGTGCCATGCTATATCCCATAGCACCAGCAAAATGGGCATCATAGGTGGGTGGATGAGGAGTGGAAAGGGCAAGACCTCATCACCTCTGGCTGGGCACCATGGGCATTGTGGGAGCTGTTCTAAGGTCCAGGTTGTAGCCAGTATAATGGGTGATGAGACTTGCTGGAGGCAGAGCCCCTTTCCCGGGTGGAATTCTAGGGCCCAGAGAATAGGACACAGGTCTGAATCTACTGTGCCAGGGGGAGAAATGGCCTCAGCTCTCCAACAAGATCAAGCGCAGGGGCCCTGAGTAAGTTCTCTGCATCTCTCTGGCACCATACAGGTAGAGGGACCACCCTCAGATTGTCTCTGCTTTATACCTCTGAAGGGATCTCCTGAAGGGCATACGCCTTGGGACAGAGAAGCCCACCTGAGCCAACCCCCTGACCCTTTCACAGGGAAGACGGGTCAGCCAGGGACCCAAGGATGGCATGTTCTGCTGTGGAAATGCCTTTTAGAGAATGCCAGGAGGCGGGAACCTGGTGTCTGAGCTGGGAACTGTGTGGGTGCGTCTGCCTATGTGTATAGATGTATAAGGTAGTTTCCTTCCTCTAGGAACTCATGGGTGGAGCTGCAGGCAGCTATGCCCTTCACCATGATAGAACGTCCAACAACGGGCCTGGGCCTCTGGAGGCATTAGCCTTGTGCTGTCTTTCTTGGGACCTGGGGTCAGGGCTTGGACAGAACAGAACACACTGATTCTCCACCCACAGCCCAAAGGTATGAAATAGGAACAAGGGAGCCTTATCCTCTGCTAACAGGGTGCTTATGGGGGGCACTAGGAGCAGCGAAGGCGGGAACGATGAGACAGACTGAGCTTGGCATCTGACGGACAACTACATGGGACTCCATGTGGCAGCTCATAGAGATGTACCTCTTTTGGGGCCTGGGTGGGCTCTGCCAAAGGTGAAGAGTTTAGGCTGTTATCTTTCCATCAGGCC